AAAGTGGTCTGAAGAGTCATAAAAACAGCCTGCAAAGCTTTGGTAGATGGAATAGTTGCCTGAAAAGTCATGAAAGTCGTACACAAAGATTGATGATTCACTTGACAAGAAAAGAAAGTTAATTTAGTCACAAAAGTAACCTTCAAAGGAATCAATTTGGCAGAAAGAAAAGCAGTCTGCAAAATTCCAAAAGTTGCTTTTGAAAAAGTCATGATCGCCGGAACATTCACCTTGAAAATTCAAGATGAGTCAAAAAAGTCATCTGCAAAATTCAAAAAGTTGCTTTAAGAAGCAGAAATGTCATAAAAACCATGTAAAACGTTTGGAGTCACTTTGGAAGACATGAAAGTTGCGTAAAAACTTATGATAAACAGTCTGCTAAGTTTCAAAAGGGCGAAAGGTTACCAGGAATCTACATGAAAGTAATTAAAAACCATCTGTAAAGTTCAAAATGACACTTTGAAAGTAGAAAAGTTGTCTTTGATAGTACCTTAGAAAAGCAGGAAATTTGTTTGAAAATTCATAAAAAATACTTGCTAAGAGTCACTTCGGGACACAGAAAACTAGCAAGAAAAGTCCTCAATGGAATGATTGAAAAGTCGCTTTAGACTGCAGAAATGCATACAGAAATCAAAATACCACTTTGAATGGCTTGAAAGTTGCCTGAAGTCACTAAAGTTATCTGCAAAGTTTGAAGAGTTGTTTTGGAAGACAAGAATTTTTCTGAAAAGCAAAAGTAGAATCAGGAAAGTTGCCTGATAAATAAGGCATGAGAATTGATTTGGAAGGCAGGAAAGTTGCCTGAAAAGTCATGAAAGGTGCAAAGTTTGAAAAGCAATTTTGAAAAGCAGGAAATTTGCCTCAAATGTAGCAGTCTGCAAAGTTTGAAAAGTCACCTTGGAAGGCTGAAAAGATGCCTAAAAGGTTACAAAAGCAATTTGCAAAGTTCCCAGTATTTCCTGAAAAACAGAAAGGCTGTCTGTAAAGTTAGGAAAAAAGAAATATTGCCTGAAGAAAGAAAAGCCTAGTGAAACGAGAATATTTTTGGAAAGTAGAGAAGTTGTATTAAAAGTCATAAAATCGTTTGTAAAATTCAGTGATTTGCAAAGGCTGAAATGTTAGTGATATTTTTGCAAGTTGGCAGCATATAAAACATGCAATTCGTAATTCATTGGGTATTCCAATATATTGAAAATAATAATAGGTAAGGAACGACTTCAAAAGATCGATGTCGGATAAAAAACTTATTTGCTTTAGTTTTGGGGTGGGTGGATTTTGACCTCAAAAAGTTTCCATCCTACAAAAACGATTTTATTTTTTAATGAAGTCAAAAAAATCTTGGAGTATTTGTAGTCCGTTTTTTTTCTATCCAATCATGGACAAAAATAACAGAAAATGAAAAAAAAAAACCCTCCAAGACGAGAAAATGGTTTGGTCCGAGTGTGAATATGTGCGTCAAATGGAGCTTGTTTTTCTTTGTTATTGGTGCATTTGTAAAGTCTTTTTACACCCACCCGACAACCAACTGCTATGCCATACTACTGTCCGATTATCAATTTGTATTTAATATTGAATGTAGTCTGACGCCATCATCAATATTTATCAATTAAGTTTCAGTGGGGGTGGGGGGGTTTTGGAAAAAACTAAAGGAATTCAGTTTTTTATCCTACATTGAACTTTTGATATTGTCCCTAATGGTGATACTTAATCAATATAATCCGATGTTTCAGGTGATGGCCTTTCTTCAGTAGGATCAGAATGTAGTAAATTAGTTTTTTTATATTTGATTGATCAGTCCTAACAACGTATCGTCTTATTCTAAGTTCTGTTTATAAGAATGGATTGGTGCAACAATTGAGATATTACATTGATAATTGACATTTATTGGCAAAAAGTTAACAATACATATACTTCATATATATATATATATATATATATACACGACATTCCAAGCTGCCTTACATTATATACTTGAGTGAACATTTTATATTTTGTTTTACTCATAAAATAACATCACAAATTTGTATACATATATACACCACATAATGAGAACTGTCAAGTTTAATGAGTTTGCCAAAATACAGTCCATAAGACAGAGATTAACAATACAGCACCAAACCAATCCATGTGTGTTTATAAGAAGACATTCTGCTTACATCTTGGCTTATTCAAGTCAATACACGCACTGAATACTTTGGCTTATGGACGAACACTGATATCAAGTTGTGTAGCTTCTTTTCATTTCTAAAATACAACAAAATATTATTGTGATAGGTAAATGCAACATGTGAAGGCAGCAATGCTTTCTCACTTGTTTTTATTACGCATTTTTTTTGGGTGTAATTCAGTCATTTTTAAACTGATTTGCGGTACCAGTATAGACTGGCAAAGTCAGGACTTTTTTTTGTTACAAAAAAACCATAATTGTCAATTTAGCTTTCTTAATCGCTAAAACTAGCGTGACTGCAAAAGAAATCCTGACTGGACGCATCTGCAGGCGACCCCCTGCATTGAAGTGAAAACTGGAGCGGAATCACTCCGGTGATTATGCTTATTAAAAGATGTTGACTAGCATTGACAACGAATCAGAGTGCAGCTATATACATCATCTCTTATCTTATCTATGGTCGTGACCTTTCACATATGAGGTCCCAATGATTTTGAATGACTACTTATATACATTGGACATTTAGATGGACTTGTTTTCAGTAAACATGGATGAAAGTATCGCCATTGCACTTAGAAAATTAAAGCATCCATCTCTGCGATCGAATCAAAATCAACCTAAAAAGGTCACGTTTACTTTCACACACCCACTCATGAATAATCAATGAAATCATGAATAATTAATAGCAGTCAAATGCCCGTAGATGCGTCCAGTCGGGATTTCTTTAGCGATCAGGTTAGTTTTCGTGATCACGCTAAAAGGAATAAAAGAGCAATTAATTATTTCTTTTTGTAAAACAAAAAAGAAGTCCGGACTTTGCCAGTCTAGTACCTGTACTACAGATTCACCAACACAGTCATATAGCAGCATCTTTTAATTGCACACAAACTTCACCAATTTTGCTTAGTAACAGGGAGCAAAATACACAAGAGTAAAATAACTATGGTTCAACTAAAACAAGATACTAAATCTTCTTTAACTGACCACCCAGTTAGCGTTCAGCCAATTTATGGTCAAAGTTCAGACAATTAAGGTAATTAATATGTAATTGTATGGCCTTATCCAGCCCAATATTCAATTCACAATAGCGTATTTTGCTATTAGCGTTAGCAGCAGTAAATCACTCCATATATGTACAAAAGTAAAAAAAAAATATCTACCCAGTAAATACTAATAAAAATCACTGCTGCAAATACTACAGTCAACATTCAGATTGGTTTTGACTGGTCAAGTGTCAAATTCTTGAGATATCAGTGCTGCAAGATTCCTGCACAGACAGACAAACACACAGTATTACAACATAAGCCCCCATTTGTGATAAACATAGCAGGAATTAAAACCCACCAATAAATAATACATGCATTTCAAAGCACAACAAAACAATTCATAATCAGCCGAAATACATAATTAATATTTAAACAATTATTTCACCCATATTTTTGGAAATTGACAAATCAGCAAGGCCATCAGCAATCATTTCTAATACTTCACTGGTTATCAACAATCAATTAAAATTAAAAAATTATTGCTGTTTTGCAAATACAAGAACTTTGTATAAACAAGATTTAAACAAAAGTTTCAGTACTTCCTCTTTTTTTTCTTTTTTTTTTTTTTTACAGATGGTTGGGTCCTTGGGTTATATACCATTGAGTCATGTATGTAAATAAAACACATAACTACTATAAGCATTATAACATATTACATTGACACACACGTGCTAATTTGTTATAAATATTAATATTTATATTTTGGGTCAGTATTTTCAAAAAGCAATGTGTATATATTTGCCATTTGAAGTAGTGCATTTGGATGAGGAGCTGGGAAACCTGTAATATTTACATGTATTAACATTGAACAATATATCTAAATGTACATTCAATAATGTGCCTATACTCAATAAATCAAAACAAATAATAACCCATGCAATATGTAATAATAATTGTTGGAGCTATTAATAATGAACTAAACAAAAACTTCAAAGTTTACAACAATGCGGTAATGTTGTCACCTGCGTAGGTTCTGATAGAAAACTTCATTTCAGAATAAGGACAATGGTTACTAGGATAGAGTAGAGCCAACAGTTACGTGGAAGAACAAGTGGTTAAAGGCAAGGGCCAATGATTACCAAAGAAAATCAATGGTTACAAGCAACGATCAACAGTTACCAGGCACAATCAAAAGTTACCAGGAACAATCAATGGTTACCAGGCACAATCAAAAGTTACCAGGCACAATCAATGGTTACCAGGCACAATCAAAAGTTACCAGGCACAATCAAAAGTTACCAGGAACAATCAATGGTTACCAGGCACAATCAAAAGTTACCAGGAACAATCAATGGTTACCAGGCACAATCAAAAGTTACCAGGAACAATCAATGGTTACCAGGCACAATCAAAA